AAACTTTTACTCGTGGACGCTAAAATCTGAATTTCATGTAATTTTCAATGTCACAGAGTATCATTTTCTTCTTTTGAATTTTCCCCAACCATTTAAAACTGTAAAGATCATTTTTAGCTTGCGTGCTATATCAGAACAGGCTGGATGTGGCTGAGAGCCCTGCCTTACTGAGACTTGCCCCTGAGCATCCATTGCCTGAAGGGCATCTGAATCCGGCACCCACCCATTCCTTTGGGAGGTGCTTTTTCTCCTCTTATCAGGCAGTGGGGAGGCCTTCCAGGGTTTCCCCAGCCAGGTGGCAGGAACTGGCTTTGCGGGCCTCAGCTGGGGAAAGCCCTCATCCGTGCTCTGGAGTTTGAAAGAATGGAGGTGGGGTCCTTCCTGCAGTCTCAGAGCACAGCTCACCTTAGCAGCAGGATTGGCAAAAGTTGGAACCACAAACCAGTAGTCTTGGATGGAGCTTTAGAAATCCCTTAGTCTGTGCCCTCATTTTTCAAGACTCAGAAAGAGAAATGACCTGCCCGAGGCCACTCAGGTTGGAGCAGCAGAGCTGAGATCAGAAGTGAGGGCTAATGACTGTGACTTCAATGCTCTTTTTGCTCCATTGGGGGCTACGAGGACCTGCCCAAAGATAGCAGTCCCTGCACGGGGCAGCGTTACAGCCCACTCAAGGACCACCCTGCCCTAGGGAAGAATCAGTGTCGGGTGTGGCCTCAGCCCAGAACATGGCACCCAGCCTAGCCACAGTGGGAGGTACTGGCAGCTGGGTTCCACACCAGGTACAGGCAGGGGGCTCTGGGACCCCTCATCTGGCCTACATCCCATGCCCTACTGGCAGAGGTGGTCTGGAGACCCAGCACTGCTCACATTATGAGTGATACCCTTGGGCACAGAACTTATCTCCTACCTGCTCTCAGGCACCGAATCCTGCCAGGATATGGGGGAAAGACAGAACAGGGCCTGGTCACCCAGCAAGGATCTCCTTTAGGGGCTAGAGGAGAGAAGTAGTCCTGCTTTCTGAAGGGCCCCCCATGGGCAAGAAAGGGTAGGCTTCCTTAGGGAAGCAAAGGTGTAAGGGCAGACATTATTCTGGAGTTTTTTCAGAACTTACCATAATAACAATAAAATGCAGAAGATCCTTGGAACCAGGGTGAGTAGAAACGTTTCAGGAAGAGCTCCCTTCCCCATCTGAGGCCTGATTGTGGTTTCTACAGGGACCGGCTAGAGGCCGGGCTACTGAGAACCACCAAGTGTGGCCCAGTGACTCCATTGGCCACTGCCCCTCGCTAATGACATGAGGTGAGGCAAAAAGCCAAGAGTATCACGGCCACTGTCTCCCTGACATCCTCGCGAGCACAAGAAATAATACTCCCACTCTCCCCATTTTCTCAGTGAGGAAACAGGGTCCTGCGCCTGAGGCAGCATTTACTCACCAGCAGGGGCAGGATTAGAGTCAACCCCGAAGTTGGTAAACTGCCCCCACTTGTGCTGAACAGAGGACAGGCGCTCGCATATGAAGAATGAATGAATGCACCAGCTGATTAGAGAGTTGCCTTGTCTGTCTCCACGCTTTCAATTCCAGGGAAGACTTACTTAATGTCAGTAGGTAGGGTGGGGGCACAGGGTGAGACCTCAATCCACAGTTCCAAGAAAGAGGGTCTCACCACCCACCTGTCCCTTCATAAGTTCTGGCCAATGTGTCTGAAACCAGGGCACCCTGTCTTACCAGGGACACTCACGCCTACAGGGAGCTTCAAGACCCTTTTTGGTTGCAAGCCAAACCTCATACTTGCTTCCCTACCCCTCCTCCCCTGCAGATGAAACGGGTAAGATATCAGGAGCAGATGGGCTCCCTTCAGACAGGAGTCCTGGCTGAGAATTGCCTACAGCTCTCCCTCTTCTTGATCTCCTGGGGCACCACTGGCCAGCTCTTGGCAGGCCCGGCCCCAGCTCTGCGGTGATCCTGGGCCTCAGGCCCTCTGCCTGAACCGCGGTTAGCTGGCCTTAGAGCTGGGGGCACCGGTATGCACGTAGCCGTGGGGACCAGGACAAGACGGGACTAACCACAGGGAGCACCCACACCCTGGAGATGGCAAAGCGCCCACTCAGCAGCAAATGCCAGGAGGGCAAAGGGACAGGGTCCAGGGCCAGGGAGAGAAGGGTTTAGGGCAGGACACAGGGCTACAGAAGAGAAATGTGACTTGTTCCCAACAAACGAACAAGGTGAAGCTAATCAGGTGAGTTTGGACTGGGGCCAGCCACTCCCTCACAGAGGCAGAGCAGAACAGGAACTGCAATTCATTAAGTAGCCCGTGAGGGTCTTCTTACCCCCAGGGGAAAGAGGCCTTGCTGGAGGCCCCTAGGAGCCGAAGGCTGTGGGTTTTCCAACTTCCAGTGCCCACCGGGCTCATGCTGGAAACTAGAGGGCAGAGTCCCCACAGCACAGATTCCTAGTCCCCTTCTAGCAGGTTTCCATCCATCCTTTCCAGGATGCTTAGGGCCCAGCCTGCTGGGATTAGGAAAGCTTGCCTGGGTCTCTATCCCAGAGCCAGGCATAGTGTGATAACTGGGAAATTTCCTTCCCAAATAACCATGCACAATTCAGCTAGCAGTCATTGAGCATCCGCTACATGCTAGGCGCTATGTGTTATTTCATTTAGTTCATCTAACAACCTACAATTATCCCCCTTTCACAGATCACAAAACTGAGGCTCAGAGAAGCTCGAAAGTCTGCTGGGGAGAGGAGGGTTAGCTAGTATGTTCTAGACCTGGATTCCAACAAGATCCTGGTTTGCCCTCCTCTTTAGGTCTCAAACTCAGGGAAGGGAAGGAATTGGGAGGGATGGGTAGAGATGCTGGATAAAAGTCCTAAACAGGGTGACCCCAGAAAGAAGAGGCATGGTTGCGGTAGAGAGTGAGAAGACCAAACTAGGCTCTCTGGGCTATAGCACAGGGCATGTTTGCCCCGGGAAACAGGAAGGCCCAAGCCAGAGTCTGGATCTATAGAGAAAACAAGTACGGCCCTAAAGGCAGCATCATGTCCCCTGGGACCTAGGGGTTGGCTTTAGAGGAGGTGGCTGGATCCGATGAGATCTCAGACCAAGAACCTACTTGTTCCTCGGATGTGGCGTCTTCTCTCCTGCCACCCTGGCACAGAACAAGTGAAAGCCTCCTTACCTGGAGCACCACACCCATCTATCCCCCTTTCTCCTGAGGACCAATGTTGAACCAGAGAACTCCAGAGCCGGCCAGGATCTCCCCTGATGGGGCAGGGACTGTGAGCAGGGAGCTGTGAGCTAGATCCCACTTATATGAGACTTGGGGAAAGCTGGTCTCTCAGAGTCTCTCTTTCCTTGCCTATCAAGCGGGATGGTAATACCCACTTTATGAAGCAGTGTAACCCACTGCTTGGCACCCAGTGGATATTCTATACATGGTAGCCACTAAGGCATTCAGAAATCGGATGTGACTTACTGAAGTCTATTCTGACTTTGGAAACCCCCATAAATATGGGAAGAACGAGGGCTCCATTGTCCTGGAGGGGCATGGGCAGCCAGCGGGGAGAGTCCCAGGAACCGAACAGGCAGTGAGGCTGCAGGGGTTGAGGGGAGGCGAGCCTCACTGGCTGCCTGGGAGATGGCTGGGGCAAAGTAATCTGAGGCGGTAGCTTTGCTGTGGCAAGGTGACCCTCTCTCCAAACCGCCTTCAAGATGCAGACCCAAACCCAGAAGCCAATGTTGCTTGGGGCCATCCCTGCCTCCCCTCAATGCTAAGCAACGTTTCCCAGCCCACTCCCGAGGCCAGACTAAAGGTAGGGGATCTCCGTGGGTGAGGGTGCCTGTCAGCATCCTCCGGGATTCTGCTGCCCCAGCCCAGAGGCCTGGAATGTGCTGTGTGCCCATCTCATATGGTCCTGGCCATAAGGGGCAAGCTCGTGCTGGGAGTGAGTCACAGTGCCCAGGCCGCAGCTGGGGAACTGCTGAGGGTTGGGCTGGGGGTAGAAATGAGATTCCTGGGGAGCTGACCCCCACCCCTAACACAGCCCTAACTATCCTACCCCTGCTGTCAGGAAAGGGTTCAGGGAGCATTAAAGAGGCCGCTGGTGCCTAGGAGGGTGCTGACCCCACAGCACAGAAAATCAGGCACTGTCTCAACAGCCCGCGCCCACAGGGCCTGCAGACGCTCCAGGGAACCCCCGCCTCCGCGGCCAGCAGGGAGAGAGAGGAGAGGCCTCCGGTCCGGACCCCATTTCGGATTTCGGATGATTCCCGATCCTCTCCCGCTTCCCCCGCCGCCCAGACAGCAGGATCCTCAAGCCACACGGCGCAGCAGGCCCCCGCCCGCCTTCCCAGCGCCGGGTTAACCCTTCGCCCGGTGCTGCTGCTGCTGCTGCTGCTGCTGCGGGTCCCCGTGGTCTCCCGGAGGGGGTGCCCGGGGGGGCTGCCATCCCCAGGCCCGGCCCGCCCCGGCCGGCTCACGTGTCCTCCCACCTTCATCCCGGGGCTCTGCCCTCCCACCCCCCAGCCTGCCGCTCCGCAAAGTTCACCGCAGCCCTGGGAGCCCCTGGGGCGCGATCCGGCCCCGCGCTCGCGCGGGTTCCGCTGTCACGGAGACTCCCGACCCTTGCCCTTCCCCGCAGGAAGGCCGACGAGGCAGCGCCGGTTCCGAGCCTGGGTGGAAACTTTGCTCCTGGGGTTCAGACCGCAGCCCGCGGGCCGAGGGAGTCCCAGCGGAGGCTCCCGGGGGCGGGGGCGGCGCACGCAAACCAGCGCACCTGCAGCTCGGGAGGGGCCGCTCCGGGCATCCCCCCAGCCCCACCCGCCCCCCGGCGCGGGATCCCGGGTCTCTTCCCTCCCGCCGCCCGCCCCGGGGCCAAGCGCTTGGCGCCTTTAAGAGCCGCTCCGCGTACCTCTGCTCGGGCTCCGGGCGCCGCGGCCCCCCGCCCCCGCCCCCGCCCCCGCCCGGCCCTCCCGACGCTGCCCGGCGCCCGCGGGACTCACCGCGCGTGTCCTGGGGCCGCGGGGCTGGGCGCCGGGTCCGCGCCCGGGGCTCGCGGAGGCTCCCCCCACTCCGGAAAGGTGAGCGGCTCCCCGAGAAGCTGCAACCTGAGCAGCTGGAGGGGAGGAGGAGGAGGAGGAGGAGGAGGAGGAGGAGGAGGAGGAGGAGGAGGAGGAGGGGAAGGGAGGGTGCAAGGAGGTGGGGAAGAGGAGGGAGGGGGAGGAGGAAGGGAAAAACCGGCCCCCGCCAGAGTTTTTCACGTGTACAAGTTGACTCCTCCCCCGTCCCTCCAGCCCTGCCCACAGCCGCTGCCAATCCCCAGGGCTCCCTCTGCCAGGGTGCCCACCCCTTTCTCCCACTCTGGGAACCAGGGTCCAAGCGCCTCTTCCGGTTTCATTCCTAGGCCTGGCCTCTGCCAGCCTTCTGGGGCCGGCCGGCCCGGAGAGCCTAGACTAGGCGATGAGCCCCTCTGCATCGGAGCACCCCAGGACTGGAGCCAGACCACCAGGGGCGATTCGCTGACGGTGCCTTTCTCCAAAGGTAGCTTGCTCACCTTCTGAGTCTGATCCTGGATCCCAGCACCTGGCACCCCAGGAGCTTATGCGCACAGATCCGCCCTGTTGTGGCCGTATTCCCCTTTAGGGTTCTTGGCAACAGTAGCCCCCGGGCTCTCCCTCTGCCTTGTCCGGTGGAACTTGTCACTTATCTTTTGGGGCAAAGCGCCCACCTGGTGGACCCCACCTCTTCGGGGCCGCCATGAAGCTTCACTTTTAGCCGTTACCCCCACTTACTACCCCCACTTACTACCCTGAAAGGTAATTGCAGTTTGTTCTTTTGGAATTCAACCCCTCAGGCCAACTGAGAATCATAAAACAACAACAGAAGCCTTAACAGATTAGCTAGTGCTGGTCCAGCTTTCATTTTACAGAAGGGGAAACTGAGGCCCAGGAAGGCGACTGGACTGGCCCAAAGTCCCACAGAGAGTTAGTGGCAAACCACGATGAGGACCCAGGCCAATGGCCACACCATCTAACTTCAGGGATCTGAGGAAGATTGGGAAGCGGTGAAGGGCACAGTGGCCCCATCTGGGCCCCGCCCAGCCCTGCCTCCTGGTGAAGACCATGAGGACAGGTGGTGGTATCTCTGATCCTATGGGTATCAAACCACAGAGGTCTGTGTCATCGGCCTTGCCATGGGGCATGACCTCTGTAGGCTGGGGGCCCTCATGGTGTCTGTGTGGGTGGGGGTGTTTTAAGGAGGGTGGCCCACTGTGTGGATGCGACTCCTTTCCGGAAGACCTGGGCCTCAGGTCCCACTCTCAGGGCCACCATCTGTCCTCTGACACCAGCCTGCATCCAGCCTACAACACAGGATCTCTCCAGACTCCAGGAGGACTGGAGATAGCCGAAAGAAGGAAGACCTCGGGCCCTCGCAGGAGTGCAACTTGTGGGTAGTCAGTGGGGGCACCATACAAAGGACCTCCCAACTCCGCTACCTCTGTTTGCTCTGCTAGGGCATACAGGCACATGCACTTTAGAAAAAGAAATCTGCCTAGTGTTGAAGAGTTACAAAGAGTAGATGGACCCAGGGCCTCCAGGCTCTGGGGATAGCAAGACGCCTAGCTCCACGTGTATGATAATTAACACAGGGGACACAGAGGCAGGGAAGGGACAGCGAGGGCGGGGGAGGGGGTTATGCTAAGGAACTGTGAGTACTAAAGGATTTGAGAGAACAGGGCCAAATGGTAGTTTCAAGAAACCAGGGCAATGGATGAGGTCAAGAGGTCTCAACAAAAGTTTTCTGAACATCAGTTATATCCCAAACAATAGCCAGGACGCTGGACACAAAACTTAGATGGAACATAGTCCCTCAAGAAGCTCACAGTCTGGGCAGCCCAGGTGGCTCAGCGGTTTAGCGCCGCCTTCGACCCAGGGTGTGATCCTGGAGACCTGGGATCGGGTCCCACGCCGGGCTCCCTGCATGGAGCCTGCTTCTCCCTCTGCCTGTGTCTCTGCCTCTCTCTCTCTCTCTCTCTCTGTCCCTCATGGATAAATAAATAAAATCTTAAAAAAAAAAAAAAAGAAGCGCACAGTCTAATGGGATAGGGCACAAGAGTCAGGATGCTCTAGGATCCAGGTTAGGGCTGTGGCTGCCTGGAGGCAGTGTTCTGCTGCTTGAGCGGAGGGTCTCGGTATGAGAGGACAGTGGAGGGCAGGAAGGGGCTTCTGTTTTCCCAGGAAGGGTAACACCTTGCAGAGATCAGGGGTGAGAGGCCAGAGCTTAGAGTGGCTGGGGCCAGAGGTGACATCATAGAGGGAGGCAGGTGCTGGGTTCTAAAGACCCTTCTAACATTTGCTGTATCCTGAAACTAGAGGGTGATGTGGGACATTTCAAAAGAAAGAGAAATCACCAGGTCTGTGACGTAGGATGATCTCTGGGCAGCCAAGAGGAGATGGCACATCTGGAGATGGCAACCCCAACTACAGGCTGATCCTGGTGAAGGATGATGCAGTCCTAGACTGGGGCAGTGGCAGCAGAGAAAGAGCAAGGAACCGACATGATAGGAGCCAGGAGCACGGAGCTTTGTGTCTGTTTGAGTCTAGAAGATAAGGGAGCAAAGAATGTTAAGATTGGAACCTCTGGGATGATAGACCAAGCTGGAAGCTTCTTAGGGATGCTTTGATCCATTGAACCTCCTTTGATTGGTGGTGTGACCTTGGGTAAACGACCTAACCTTTCTAAGCCTAGTTTTGCAATCTGTAAAACAAAGATACTAAAATCCGTCTTGTGTGGTTGTATATATTAAAGATAACATATGCCAAAGCATAGGGCTTAACTCTTAACAGGAATTCGATAAGTAGTAGATGTAATTACCGATGTTTGTCTTTTCTACAAGCATTTGTTAAAGGTCTGATACGTGCCACCGATTGTCCTAGATCTTTGGGACTTAAGTCTCAGTCCCTATTCTCATGTAGCTCACCATCCAGGAGGGGAGAGATACGCAGAGGAACAGTCATATAACAGAGCCATCTGGGCTGGGACAGAGGAGGAAGCTGTGCCCAAAAAATCAGGGACAACTTCACAGAGGAGAGGTGACAGCTTAAACAATGTAGGGCCAGCTGTCTGCTCAGAGACTGTCGTATCACGCCCTCCCTCCCCCACTCCCTGACATGGGATTGAGTTTCAGAACCTGAAATGTTTCATTTTGAAGGCATTTGTCATGCTCCTTGGGGTTGGGAGAAGGGGATGCACTGCGGATGGGCATCTGTATGGAACCCAGGGCATGGTGTGTAGATCCTCGGCGGCCCCAAGGAAGGGCATGAGCAGCTGGGCAGTTAGTTAGAAGAAGGGAGCCAGGGCAGCACCGGTGGCCCAGCGGTTTAGCGCCGCCTTCGGCCCAGGGTGTGATCCTGGAGACCTGGGATCGAGTCCCACGTCGGGCTCCCTGCATGGAGCCTGATTCTGTCTCTGTCTCTCTCTCTCTCTCATTAATAAATAAATAAAGCTTAAAAAAAGATTTGAAAAAAAAAAAGAAGGGAACCAGGTAAGAGCGCGCATGGGCAGAGCCTGCTGGCTGGAGAAGCAGCCTACATGTTGTGCTCTTTGGGCCATCCTAATGTTTCTGCTCCCTGTCTGTGTCCTTCTAAAAATTCCCTGCAAAACCATTTGGTGTCCCCCGCCTTGCCTCCCATGCCAATTTTCTTTCCATCCATCTCTCAACGAGCCCAGCTTAGAAGCAGCAGCCCTACCAGATCCTCCACGAGGGAAGGACTCCTGCCCTGCTGCCCCACCAAGCAAGACCTTGGGCTTAACAGCCACAGAGACTATTACCTCTCTGATTTTCCTGTGGTAACATGGAGATAGTACTAATCCCTTTCGCAGGGGGCTGTTGTGAGGTTTCAAGGTGATGTGAACTTGGCACCCACTCCATGCTTGTTTCTCTTCTCTGCCCGATAACTGCCTACTTGCAGAGGGTCAGACCAAAGACTCTCAGCTAGGGATATCCCCTGGCACACCAGCTCCTGGGGCCCCTCCCCTAGAGGACCTATAGGCCCCTTCCCCTCTGCTAGCCTAAGTGACATCCCTGGGTAACCCTGGTCACCTTAGCAGTGCAGTGCTGGCAGGATGACAATAGGGGCCCCAGCTGCAGCCCAGCCCACTCCCCTACTCTGATCCTGTCTCTCCTCCCTGCTGCTGCTGACATGCCGTTGCTCTGCAGATAGGACAGGTGTCCCTGGGTGCCTGAGGGCTGAGTGAGGAAGCTGGAAACAGTTCTCCCTCACAGACTGTGTGGGCAGTGGACTCGAATAGCTTCTGAAAAACCAAAGTTCAAGCCCGCCCTACTTTCCCCTGGGAGGTGCAGCATCCAGACAGGGAGAGTTCAGCCAACAGAGAATCTTCTTTCTGTACATTGCTGCAGGCTCTCCTCCCTCTGGCCTTACCCACACACAGGCAGCACAGTCTTCCAAGGCCTGGAGATCTGACTCTGCCCTGAAGGTGCAAGAGCCATTGGAGTTATCTGGGCCTCAGTTTTCCTCCTCTGAAAAATGGGAATAATGTGAATGCAGCCTCTCAGGAGGGTTCAGTGAGAGAGTGGATGTGAAGGTACTTTGTAAACACTAAAAAGATCTGCATGTATATGAGATCATTGGTGTTTGGCTAAAGAGACCTTCTTGGGGGTTCTTTTTTTAAGATTTTACTTATTATTCATTATTTATTCATTTAGAGAGAGAGACAGGGACATAGGCAAAGGGAGCCGCAGGGACCCCAATGCAGAACTCGATCCCAGGGCCCCGTGTTCATGACCTGAGCCAAAGGCAGATGCTCAACCACTGAGCCACCCAGGTGCCCCCCTTCCTGGGGTTCTTAGGAGACAAGTGAAGACCAGAGAAACAAAAAACTAAGTAAGAACAAAAAGAAGCTCTCCTCAAGAACCTTGGGAGGGGAATGGCAGCCGAGATCCTAGCCCATGGACCAAACCCCTGTGACCTAGCTCCTTACAAGTGTACGAGTCAGTAGGGACAGCAGGACTTGGCTGGATGCAGCCAATTCTTACTCCTCTGAATAAATCCAAGCCATTGTTTTCTAGTGATTTATGGAGAGTGGGGATGATAGGAGACAAATATTATTTACCTGGTTCTAGTGTGATTCCACTA